GTTGTACCTAGTTCTCTGTCAAACTCATTTTTCAGAAGAGTTTTTTCTGATATCCTTACAGTCTAGATGTTATGCTGAATGAGAACTCTCCTGACCAAAGAAATTACCTACAAAATTTACTTATGATTCACAGGTATCACTTACCACTAGGCTCAAACCCAGTAGCTAGCTCTATTTTATCATACTGCAAAAATTCCTACACTGCAAGGAATGGCATACACATTATATTAATGATGAACCATTAATAAGACTATTCACATCAGCTAACATTTTATGTGAGGTGCCTAACTGAGTCAAAATACCCAAGTAGTTTTCCTTAATTCTTTCATTATTGTAGAAATAATACAACTATAGTGACCTGGACAGACTGATCTACCAATAGGGAGAGACAAGATAACATATTTAGTTGCTTTGTGTTGGGTGAAATTACTCCCTGTAACTAGTCCAGATCAGATGCTACACCAAAGTGTTAATGAGGCATGCATATCAGAAGCTATCAGTGATACCACCTTGTTCAGCTAGAACAAAGCCTTTAAGAACTTGATTCTCATTCTGAACAAGTGTTTTATTAACTAGTAAGTGATCTTGGCATTGTGTTTGTCTTCTGCTTATCAAGCTGACTTCTTCCTGTTGTGTCAATAAGTATTTTAGAGTCATTGTAAAAGAGATTTTGCATTTCTGCAAAATCGATTTCTTATTATTAAGTAGTGCCTTTTGCAGGCTTACTGGTGAATGTAGTTAACATCCTTTTACTCCAGGGAAAGACGCTAAATTACTTTTCAGCTAGAATGTATGACTTATTCTTTATACCAAAGTCAGATGAGAGCTCAGAAATCCTGTGCGAAAAATCTTCGTTTCATTTTGCTTGAAAAATATCCTTCAATCATTGTTGAAAATAGCTGACTGAAGATTACCTCTACAATTTGAGTGAAGACTATTGTGTGACTATATTGACAGTGCTAGTGCTCCTTTGCTTATTAAAGACGGTGTCTACCACACTGGATGTCAACAGAAGCCAACAGAGATGATTCTTGGAGTAGAAGTAAAATGAACCTCAAACAAGGTCCAAGGCTGGCATTGCATTTGAAAGCATGAGTAACTTCAACCAGTGAAGAAAGTTTATAAGTTTATGCAAATAGGGACGTGGGATGAAGTACCTGGAGCAGCTGATTTATAGTCAATGTGATAATAGTTTATGAAATCACTCTTTCTTTCATCATTTACAGAAAACTGTATGTGCTGATGAAGCTTCTTGAACTGGTTTCCAGAATAGACTTTTCTCCATTTCATCACTTATACAAGAAAAATCTATAGCATACAACAAAACACACTCTCATATTACATATGTCAGTTTTCCAAAAGGGATGGAAGTATTTTATAGTGTATAAGATTCAAAAAAACTGTAAAATAGTATCTATATAATCTTTGTATTTTCAGAAAGCAAATTATTTAACTAATTCTTCAATAAGTATGTATTATCTCCAAGGACTAGGTGTTTGAAATCGTATCAAAACTTACCTTTTTGGGGCAGAAATGTCCAGAGCCCTTTAAAAATACCAAACCACAACAAAACAAAGAAAAAAAATTTTAAAAAGAACTAAGGGAGACTTGACACTTTACAGCCCTAAGCCATCCTACATCCTGTTTTTTTGAACTTCATATTTTCCTCTACTTCCATGTGCCTTTCATCTTATGTCCCTTACATTTGGTTTTGAAGAACCCAGAATTTCAGGCCCAGACTGAGAGCAAACTTTTCCAATACCAAGAGAGAAAGGACAGCTCTCTGTTTTCAGCTGAATGCAAACCAAATAAAATGCACACTAAAAATTTTTTTCTTGATTTCTCAAAAAAAAAATCAACTAAGAAAGTGAAAATCCATATTTATTTGGATTCATAAGTCAAGATGATCTGAGCTCTTAAAAAATCCCTCAAGTTTACTAAGACCTCAGACTCAGAGATGAGTCATGTCAGGTTTGATTTTTAAAACAAACTTTCAAATTGTATGGTTCCATAAAATACATCAATATTTTTCAATGAAATTTACCTCAGCTTTGGTGTTGTTTAGCATGAAGAAGAGAAGGCTTAGGAGAAACCTTGTAACAACCTTAGAGTACCTAAAGAAAGAATGCTGGAGAAAGACTTTTCTCAAGGGCATCTAGCAATAGGACAAGTGGGAATTGCTTAAAACAGAGGGTAGGTTTGGATCACATAATAGTAAGAAATTTTTTACTGTGAGTGGGATGAGATCCTTTAACAGATTGCGCAGAGAAGCTGTAGATGCCCCATACATGGAAACATTCAAGGACAGGGTAGATGGGGTTTTGAGCAACCTACTCGAGTGGAAGGTGTCCCTTCCCATGGCAAGGGGATTGAAACTAGATAATCTTTAATGTCTCTTTCAATCCAAATGGGCCTATGAACTGAATGTGAAGGAAAAAAAGAATTAATTTAGTTCTGGATGGTACAAACTACATTTTCATCGACTTGGTACATTTACGTCTAATATCTTTCCCACTGCATAATCCAAGATAGCAGATTTATAGAACTGTGTACGTACAAGTGATAACTTGCAAACCAAGATTTTATCTTACTATAAGTAACTGCATTACATAAATTCAAATGAGTATTGAAATATGCACAGTCAAGAAAATGCCAGAAGCATATTGCCTCATTTTAACACATACTATCTCTTTGACACTTACTGCTATTAGGAGCAAAGACTCAATAGCTCATGATGATCCTAGAACACAGGATTTATATATAGTAGAATACTTTGGACAAAGGTGATAGCAGTTAATCAGATGAAGATTCACTAATAAATTGGTTTATGCTGTCACTGCTTATGATTGAAATTATTATAGTTGCACATCTTAAAGATAAATAAAAAGAAACTGTATGAACTATTGTTCATTGGCACAAGTTCTCAGCCAAAAAGTCTCTATTAATGTTAGGATTTTAGTTACCAATAAGCTCAAGTTCAGTTTTGTTCTGTAGCTATTGTAAGATATTATTACATCTTCTGTCCAATTATGGAAACCTTTATTGCTTTGTTCACTAAACCAACTTGTCCTGCACATGCTTCTTTGGAGTCAGAAACCCAGAAAGCATATTTACATTAGCAGGGCTGCAAACCTGTAAAAGATTCTACCTGTCCTATATAAATTGCATCTGCTCATCCACTCCCTACTATAATAGTCATAGATCTTCCTTACCACACTTATAGTGGCCATCTATTTAAACTGAAAGGAATGCAAGTGACCAGTTTTAACTACCTATCCTATACTGACAGCCTTTAGAGTGGATTCTCTTAAAAGCTTTAAGAATGTATACAATAAACACTTCTTAAAAATGGATTTCCTCCCCCCTTCTCTACTGTAATTCCTTTGGAGGACAGATGTGAGTACAGATTATTCCCACATTTTCTTTCATTGAAATACAACATTGTATTTTCTACATTTTATTCTTGAGAAGAAGTATATCCTTGGTCTTTATTAATTTCATGTATATACCAGGGACACAACCTTTATTAAAGATTAAAAAAAAAAGACAAACCCAAACACACCAAGTGGACTGAATAGTTTTCTACTGAAGCACCCTATCAAAATAGGTCACTTATCATCAGAAAGCTGTAAGTCCAGCTAGAAATATCTAAAGATAGATATTTGTTAGCTGTGTGAGTTACCAACTGATTGCCTCAATTTTGTGTTAAAGTCTATTTCTGTGGAACCCTTAAGGTCAGCCATGATAAAAGCAAAGCCCAAGTACCTTTGGACTTTCTGGGATCGTAAGCACATCTGAGAACACCACGAGTTTTTCATTTATTGTGACTTAGCTTTGAAGATTCCTTCTTTTTGATGACTGAGCTTTACATGCAGAGTTCAGGAGCAGAGTAAGTTGGAAAGGGCAGCTTTTAGTAATCACTGCATCAAGGAACTGCCTTTCCACACTTTCCTATGGACTCTTTCCTTTTGTTCAACACAAACTGATTTTTATTTGCTCCTTCCACTGTTTGCACAACAAGAATAACATTATGATGTTTCAAGAATGATGCTAATCATTCAGATTACTTAGTTTCTCCAACAAGCTATACTACCACAGACCTTTTGTGTACTAATGTTTCATAAAGCACACTTCTTGGATTCAATGCTGCCAGTAAGAACTTTATCTGCATCACAACTATGATACAGAAGCCCTGCATTATATATCTTAATGTCTTTAAATATTCATAAAATATAAAGTCTCTTGATAACATAACTACAGCTAATGGCCACGTTTACAATTTTATATTTCTAACTACTTCAGAGACATTATGATAAAGGTAAAGACTTCCCACTTAGCTTGTCAACTTTACCCTTTTAAAGCCTACACAACAGAAAACGTTTGCTACTTGCTGCATCTTTTGCTGGAATTTACCAATTATTTTTAGCTTACCTATCAAGCTGGAGTAATCCAATCACTGGATTAATCAACATAATCATCAGAAATTCTATTGAATACCCTTTTCTTTTTATATCCACTGACTCCCAATTGACTGCTACAGATGATATTAAGTGTCAGCAATTCAGCTACTGCAATTCAATATGCACTAGGGAATCTATGCCTCCAAGTACCTCCAGTACTTGTTTTCAGCCCTGGTGGAAATTAATTGTTCTTTGGCTGTTTCTCAAACTTTCACCATTGGTAAGTGTTCCTTCGTTCTGTTCTTATCTGGTTTTTTGTCTATTATAAGGATTCATCTCGCAACTCTACGTTAGCATTGACTTGATATTGCCAACTTGAAAATAGCTCAGAATGGACATGTTTTTCGGGTCTTAATATTAAGGCAGGTGTTTTTACACATTTGGCTATTTATATGACCAGGTTTATGTCATATCTCAGGTTTCCAAGTACTGACAATCATACTCCATCAAAAGCTTCTTTGTCTTCCAGATGCAAGCATTAGGGTAGCTGATAGGTAAGAAAAAAAGATGAGAGACCAACCTCACAGCTGAGAATTGTTCAGGTGAATAGAGGCGCACACACTGGGGAAAGAAGACTAGAAAAACTGGCCACATAGGCAATTAGCATAAAAACGGTTAGGAAGTTATTCAATTCTCTATTAGACAGGATTTGTAAGAACTAGCTATTGAAAAACCCTCTCTTTGAGCTGCTGTGCTTGAATGCAGGAGCTGCTGGTTAATAGTCTATGGTCACTTTCTGACCTTAAAATCTATTACTCTAAAGCAGACACTGCACTCTCGGGTACCTGAAAGTATGATCTAATAGCAAATGTTGAATTAGAAGACACAGCACCCAGAAGAGCAAATAAATAAGTTTCATTACTACATACCCCACAAGATACATAAGTATTTGCATTTGAATAATAATGTTAATATTAGGAAAACTACAGCATAATCAGTTGTGCTTCATTACACAATGTTACTGTAGCTGAAGCAGTATTTAATTATGATACAGAGACACTTAGCACTTTGAAGAAAAAAATAATTTCTCAGTTTATGCATAAAGCCATTTTTTACTTCCTTGTTGGCTATGCCATTGGAAATACTAAATCTCAAGTCAGTCATGTACAATAAGATATCTCAGTAAGACACTTAGAAAATCCATTTTAAACATCTTTCAAAAGAAAAGTATTAAGTAATTCAATTTTTTATTTTAGTAAGGACTCAAGAGTAACAATTGGGTAATGTTGCAGAGACTAATCTTCCCCAGAAACACTTTACACTAACATATATTCAATCATAGAATGTCCTGAGTTGGAAGGTACTCACAAGGATCATTCAAGTTCAACTCCTAAGGTCAATCATGCCTATGAAAATGCATTTACTATCTATAACACAAATACTTTCATACTGATTTGGTCTTGTAATAAAGCAATACGACAAAACTCTCAGAGATATTCTGACTCCTCTACAGTCCACAGAGAAGGATGGTCAGGGTTTGTTTTCTTGTGGGTTTTTTCTTGTTTTGTTTTTTTGGGGAGGCTTTGTGGTTTTTGGTTGGTTCGTTGGTTGGTTTTTTTGTTGATTTTTTTTTTGTTTTGTTTTGTTGGGGTTTCATGGGTTTCTTTTTAGTCTAGATGCAATTATAAAAACCCACCAAATAAGCCCCAGCATAAACATAAATTTTCCACTACCATCCTCAACATAGACCTTCCCTTTCTGACTCCTTTTCCATTGAATACACACAAGATTAGTGCATTAAACTAAGGGTTTAATGCACTAATGCACTAATAAGCAGCCTCTGTGACTGCTTTTCAGTTTGTTGTATCTGCTTAGATCTTGTATTTCTCAGTTCCGTGGGTACAAAACCGTGCAAGATTTGTCAGTAACAATTTCCAAAAATAGACTTATAGTGAAGAAATGCAAGAATAACATGGATGTAGATTTTCAAAAGGTACAAACTCCCACTGACTTTTGTCAGTTAACTTAGAGGAAATGTCTTTTTACTAAATTTTCCGTGACAACAATATTTTTCTCCTCTATTATTTACCAATTCTGACAAAATCGGTAGTTTTGCATTGGTGAAAATTACTATATAGGATAGACAAAACTTCCACCTGTTCCAGTTTTGTTGTAATGGACATCTGGGAAAGAGCAAATTTTAAGAAACAGAATTAGCAAAAGTAATATCTGAAGCAACCTGGTGAATATACTTTCCCAATTTCACCTTGAACTTGAACACCATTCTGGATATACTGAATGATGGTGTACAAATAAAATACAGGACCCACTTACACAGCATAAAGGAGGCCTTCTGTCTTTAATCTTGCATTAGCAGAAGCTGCTGTGATGCAGTTGCCACTGAGAAGACTCAGTTCAAAAGCAAAGATGAGGCAGGAGACTGGAAGAAAAGCACTTCATGAATATCTCTCCTGCCAGGACCAATCATCCATCCTTTATTTTATAGAACATGTCATACAGTGATGAGAATAGTATGTCCTGTGTCAAATCAATGAAGCAAGCACTTTGTCCTGTGCTTCAGCAACCACCATGAAAGATTAATCTGCACAGCACGTAAACACACTTCAGTACAATTATATTCCCAGGGAGCAGATTCTTGATTGTCTCAACTCTAGGTGGTTCAGACAGGGGGCACTTCCAAGTAAGCTGGAGCCAGATGGGATTCTGTAGCCTCAGACTGTTCAAAACAAGCTTATGGACTATCTCACCTTCACACAAAATGTTACAGCGACTTCAAAAATTTATTCTTCGAGAACTTGCCCCATTAGTTAGGGCTTCAAAACTGAGCTAAACAGCTATTATTTTAAGCATTCCTAATTTTTCTTGCTACATCTGTCTACAGAGTATTCACTAGTGAGGGAGGGAAGTTGTGGTGCAGATATCAACACAGAATTATGTTGTCTTCAGCCCCTTACTATGGCATCAAAATGTTTGGTTTTTTTTTTTTTTTAAATAAAATCGATTTACAAGCTAATTGCACATTACTCTCTCCATCAAGTGTTCACATGAAAATTCAGAGATTGGTAGCACATAAAACAGGCATTTAATTGTTTTGAAGGGGACAGAAGACACAGCTTTCTAGTCTGGACATAGAGCTTGAAAAAATAAAATGAAGAAACTTAGACACTTCTACTTACCTTCTTAGTTTCTTTATAAATTAATTTCCAAAGTTAAAAGGCAACTGGAATATTTCTTCTTTGCTTCAATGGTGAAATCTAATAAACTATTTTCCTCCTGTTGCTGCATTAAACACTGGAAATTAAAGGGCAGAAAATTATAAAAGGTGTCAATTTAGGTGACAAAAACAGTCTTGGGCAGAAAAATGACAATTCATATAAGCAACCTGGAGAGAACACTGCAAAAACCCCCACTATCTGTTTGCATTCTACAGTCTATAAGATGGTTCTGGTTGTCTATACACATATCATCATATCTGGTTTTAATGAGCTGCCCATTATTGACAGTTAATGACCGCTACTAAAGCAGTAAAGTATCGCTGTACAAACCCTGCTCCTGAATTTTGGCTACCAGATATTTCCTGATAATTCTAGCGTCTGGTAGTTTGTAGTTCTCCTCTAATACTCTTCCCACCCAGGGTGAACCTGATCCTCATTAATATGAGCCATCTGCCTCCTTGATTTCTCAATCTGCCCTGGTACTTTCAACTTTGCATTGCTTTTCCAGCACTGCAGGGAAGGATAATATGCTAATGCATTCGTAAAATTTATTCAAAGAATTCTAGGAGTAAGAAATAAAAAACATATACTAAGTGTGTTAAAAACTAATTGCCAATTCTGAAAATTTAAAGTGAGGCAAGCAGGAGATCTCCTCTGCTTATCAAACCTTACAGAGAATTTAACTGAGTCCCTCTTTTTTTTTTTGGAATGCATTAGTTAACACGTACAGCTACCTTCTCTCTTTGGTCAAAATATCCATTCTTCTCTCCATTCCTTTTGACATCTTCCCATAAAATGCATTACTTTGCCATGACATATTCCTAGGTGAAGACTCTTTGAACACTTGCTAAGATAGCTAGCTAGCAAAGACAGAACCCTTCAAGGTAAGCCTCCAGGTTGTCTCTGTTTCTGGTTCAGAAAACAGGAACTGTCCATCTAGAGCAAGTCACCTATCTTGTCTCTCTGATACAAAGGCAAATTGCTACTTCTGGTGTTCTGAGAGCAAGGCATTCACCATGTACCTCACTGCCTAAGTTATTTGATGAAAGTTAGACATGCCACTGCTGCTACTTTATTGACCTGCCAAAGAGAAACACTGACAAACCTAGCTGAGAATAACACCAAACCCCATTACTCCAGCAAAATCTGTTCATCTATTATTTTAGCATGCCAGTGTTAATTCCTGTGAGCTGTCATTTTAGGAACAATGGGTGGACTTGAATCAGCCTACATTGGGGTTTTTTTCTTGGAATTTACATGAGATGCTGTGCACAATGGGAGAACCAAGCAAACTAATTGGGGCTGAATCTTTTTGATAATAAACAACTTTAATTAGAGATAATACTCCAAAAGATCTTCACTTTAACATACAAATTTTCACTAGTAAAGGAAGACAACAATGTAATGTAACTGTTCCTATATAGAAACTTCCAGTCAATGACATGAATTAAAAAATATCCCTAACAGTCAGTAAGATAAAAACAAATCAACTATTATCCTTGAGCTATAAGTCTGAAATGTTTCTATCCTGTAACTTTATGTGTCAGGTTGCTCAACATTCATTATATCACATTAAAAAAAAACCAAAACAAGCCAACAACCAACAGCCCCTGTCTACAGAGTTTCCTGAGAGTGAAGGTTGTGTTTGAGAGGAGTCTGAATCAAAATGGAAGCCACAACAAGATTATGTACAATTTCTGAGGGAGGAAGATACTTAAGAGTCAAAAGTAAAGCAGACATTTTCTCAGGCTTTTCATATCCACTCTAGCCCAGATATTGTCATCTATGGAAACAGAACTCACTAGATATGCTGGATATGATTGTATTAAACCAGATATGAAACAGGTTAGAGTAGGACTTACATTAATTACTATTTTCATCAATAAAACTGTCCCCGTACAAATTGATATGGACCACCAACACTCCTTCCAGAAAAAAGGCTCTCATTCCTGGAGATGCTCTCAATAAGTGAGAATCACCAAACTAGCAGCTCTCCAGACAATTACAACACTGTCCATGCATGCAGTCATCCCACCGTGATGTCAGCACTTATATGTTGTATACACGAGTTCTATTTCCAGTCCATATTCCGAAGCATGTGCAATTATAGTTCTCTTGGCTGGGGCACATAAAACAAAGATCTTGTTGCTCAGTACCACAAACTCCAGATGGTTGTTAATAAAGGGCTTATGCCTAGTTTGTAAGCCATGCCAAAAAATAAGGCTACCACATGCCTTGAATATTTTCTTGTTCTGAAAGATTCTCAGGGCACCTAACGGCTTGTCTTCTACGTAGAAGTAAGAACTCGTACATCTGGAGTCTCCTTAAAGGATTAGTTCTCTGCTGTGGCACCTCCCATCCCACTGCTTTCTCCCTCATCCCCTCTCCTAGCTCTTTTGTTACCACACCATAAAAAGCCTGTCAACACAGAGCACCAGAGCGCAGAGGCACTTCATAGCGCCAGGAACATGCCATCACACAGCCCTGTCAACAATCCCTCCTGGTACTCACCCAAGTGCAGCCCTGATCATCTTCTGACCTATCTCTGGAGATGCTCCCTCACTAAGAACTGTCAGCTAACTCAGGCTGCACAGTCGCAACAAACTCAGCCTATCAACTGAACACCTACACCACCTCCAAAGCCATTCTGAGGTTGCAGTGGTAACTTACAACTAGTCAAGCCTGTCATAGCAAGTCGCATAAGGAACATCCTATCTACCAAAACTGAAATGACAAAACTAACAAGAAAATATTATAGAAATGACAGAAAGCCATCAACACTTAACCTGAGAGTTCAACTACTGCTGGCAGTTTGGACTTGAACTGTCCGAACCGAACTGAGAAGCCCTCACACAACTACTCACTAGCTCTGGGAACACTTACACACAACAATTGTTTAATTATCTCCCTTATGCCTTTGAGTACAACCCATTTGAGTACTGCATGCTTGATGATAAATAGCTTAAGACTCAGCTTACACTTAAGTCCAACCTAAAAAAAAAAAAAAAAAAAAAAAAAAAAAAAAAAAAAAAAAAAAAAAAAAAAAAAAAGGGGGCCTTTGACCTCCTAATTCCTCAAGGGAGTCAAAATAGCACCAAAGGTACAGCCACAGAAAACCAGAGGGGAAAATTACAAACACAGACTCACCACCTACCTTTAAACCTCTTCCTGAGAAGACTCAAATGCAAATCAGACAGAAAAAAATAAAAGTGTTACTTTCTGACACCATTCTGGAAGCAGTCAACTGCAAAAGAGGCTTCTAAATTATAACTTTCAATAATAGCCAGAAACCAGGGCTCACCTACAAGCTCTGAGTAAAATGTGAATGGAAGAAGGCTGAAGATTTACCCTTTGCTGCAGCTCTTGTGATTAGTTGGGTCCCTAACAGGTGACCCACAGCTTTGAGGTCCTTTCTGTCACTTCACCTTGCTGAGTGAGCAGTTCCTCCTGTAATTTCTGTTAAACCCTTTATCAAAAGAGGCCCTTTTCTATTGTAGCATGGCTGCAACTTTAATCTTGCCAGAAAAAGCAGCTACTCTATTCCTGCAGTAGCTACCGAATACTTATTTTTACACCTCCTGGCATTGCTCCCTGTCAGGAACTGCTGATTTAGCAATATAGTCTTAAGCTAGAAGTGGGGTCAGAAAAGAGCAAAAATCTAATGTCTCCAATTGTGCTGCTAATTAGAAAACAGAAAGAATTGTCTTTCTTTGTAGGCCATGCCATATTTTAGACTTGAATGCAGCAAGCTGATGGATGTGAGCAGATCCCCCTGTGACTTCCCAGCACTATAGGAAGGAAAGGAAAACGACTGTGCAGAACAGTTTGAGTAATTATGGGCCTAAATTAGAAAGTAGAACTATGCTTCTGGCATCCATATAATTTTGCCTGGTTTCCATTAGGAAATGTATCTTCTAGTTTTCCTCTAGGTTGTCTTCAAACAAAGCTTTCTGCTTTTGAATGTGGCTATTAAATTAAATTGGTGTATATTTAAGACTTAAAGCTTAATTCAACACATTATTTAAGTTTGTGTTAATTTTAATCACATGGTTTGTCTTATTTAATAATGCATTAATGGGATATTTCACCTGGTCACATTTAAACTCTCTTTAAGTGCTTCCTTTAAACTTTTAAGTCAGGTATGAGATCAACCTTTATCTTTTCTCCTCATATTAATGTTTCATCCTCTCTCTTTACTTCAGAAAAAAAAATACAGTAGCATTAATTAGTTAATTGTTGAGAAATTCTCATTCTTCTTTCTTTTTAGATCCTATTGATTTCTATTTCCCTCTGGTTATTTGCGTTCTCTCTTTTTTTTTTTTTTTTTTATTCAAAACATAGCAATAAGTTATAAATACACATTTTAAAAGGATTTTCTGGTTAGGTAGGGTATTTTCAAACTCTTGTGACATAACAACATGCCACCTTAATGTTAATATAAGATATTTACTAAGGGAAATTGATATGTGCTAAGATATTGCTGTGCATTTGCCTATGTTCTGATTCAACAGAGGAAAATAAAACAAGCACTCTGAGACAACCTTCTGATCTACTGAATCTGATGTGTATTTGTTGTGTTACTCCAAAGCTGGAAATGTCCAGAGTCCTTTCAAAAATTGAGATAATTTAAAAAATATTCTGTTTGATTATTATTATTATTATTATTATTATTAGAACAGTGACATTTACCATTGAAAAAAGTTTTCTGGTTGTACATAAAAAAGCTATCTGAAATTTAAGATAGTAAATATTTTATACTGTAGCCTCTTTGAGTGCCTTTCAAATTCTCAGACAAGCACAAAATCAAAGTAACAACCTATCCAAATGGGAGCAAAATATGTTTTTAAGCATTACTCATACTTTCAGAAAGAACATTGCTCCAGGCTGTTTCTGAATCTATGTACACACACACACACATTTCTGCCATGGGTCATGCAAGAACTCCAGCTGGATGGAGTTCAAGCAGCTTAAAGTAATCCAGCTAAGAAAACTTCTGTGAATAACTAGTAGCTTGTTTTACTTTAAGTGTAAGCATTGCCAATATATCTGTGGGATAAGAAAAAAAATCCTTCATGAACACTTTATCTTACTCTAGAAAACTATTAAATGTGAAATCTTTCACTGAATCAGAGCAACGATAAGACTTATGTAACTGCTGTTGACTGAAAGGATTGTCACTTAAAGCTGCAACTCTAAAAGAGCTGGGTGAAATTAAAACAGAAAAAGATATGGGTGCCTATAATCTAAAGTCTCCTTTGAAAAATCTGGAGTAATGCTTTTTCAAATTGTGTTCAGGCCTAAACCCTTTTTTTTCTGTTGCTGAGAATAAAAGACAGAAAATAGATAAAATATGGGACTTTAAGAAAGACACAAGAGTTTCAGCATCTGAAGTGTCCTATTTTTAACTAATGTTGTTCAGGGAAAAGAAAAAAAGATAGAAAAGGATTATCCATAGCAACCACTCTTAATTAAACAAAAAGAATATTGTACTTTTCAAAAGCTTTTCTATTTGTAAAAGAGTTTTGTAATTTACTGTACACTGACAGTCAATATTATAACCCAGAAATCTTTTTTTCATCTCTACATGAAAATTGGCCTCTCAAGACAAATTGCTTCTCAAAACTGTGAAGTGAAGCAAAAAAACAGATCATAATGAAACTCAGCCAATAATATATACACATATACTTTATGTGTTGCATCAGAGTAATAATTATCTTTCTTCCTATTGGAATATTTATGGTTTGAAATATGCCTACTAAGTTTACAAATATTTTCCTCTAGAGTATTACTGACACACCAATACTAGTGGTTAATGATAGGCTTTGTGTTGGAAATAAGACAAATGAAAAACCTCTAATGTAGTAACAAACTGGGAAGTAGAGTCAAAGAAATGAATACCTAATACTAGTTTTATTGCATCGGGAATGGAAGAATTTATTTTGAGACTGCAGTGTTTGCTTGCAATATTTCTCTATCTCCTTCTGGTATGTTGACAAGTAAAAGCAACTTGTTGCATTTTCTCACCATGTTATCAGAAAGGCTTAGGCCTCTAGACAGTGGGCCACCCACAAGTAACATTCCTTGCACTCTTTCAAGAGTGTAAATCACCCCAGAGCTGCCAGAAAGAGCAACCACTTTGTATTTTGCACTTTCCTAAGCCAGCAGAGCTACTCAGCTGTGAAGTAGGAACCTTTACTCTGCCTGAAGTCTTCATTCTTCACTAAAGATCTGCCCTGTGCACTGAAACAGAGGGGAGCCTGAGCCTGAAAAGTAATATGTAATTATACAATTAATAAACATAATGTACGCAGGGGTGCATAGGAAGCAAAATCTTGGTGCTCTCTGTCATGTGCATATTAATGAAAACTAATGATTTAAGTACAACTTGAAACTTCTAACACTTAAAAGTTAGATGTCAGCTAAGCCAGAGAGTCTTTTGTTCTGAAACTATGGCAAATGCTTGGTAATGTGGCTTAGCTCTACTGTCTTTTCACAGGCCCTGCTAAGTGCCATTACCCTCTGTTTATCTTGAGTTAAGAATGCAGCTACTGTGGCCCAGCTGATGCATGATAACTAACTTCAAGCAGTAGCTTGAATGTGAACTTGACCTATGAGAACTTTCTTTTAATGCCATTCTTCACAGTTATTGCTCTGGGATTATTTTAGTTTTCTGCAGGGGAGAAGAAGATTTATGCCATTTTCTAGTTTCTATTTTCACAGGAATACAAATGCACAGCTATTCTGTACAGCTGCAGTGACATGTGTGCCATGCTATTTTAACTAGCAGCAGAAGGACTGTTATTTTAGAGGGAAGAATATGTTCACACTGTGCACTGGATTCAGAAGAAAGGCAGCATGGAAATCCTGGGTCTGCAGGTGTATGAGAGGATATGGCACAGATATTCTTGTCCAGACACAACAGCAGTCAGTGCTGGTGAAGCGCCACGTGCAGGGCTACGGTGAGGGCAGAGCTCAGGCTCTGCATTCTCCTCCCTTACTCCAAACTCAGTTCCACATGTGATTCTTCACTATGAAAAAGAGATGGGTCGACCTGCAGACCTCAGATGCCCATTCCATCTGTACTGTCAATGCAGTAAAATTTATCAGCTGTGAAAGCTGTGCCATGAAAGGTCGTGGCTGTCTGATGTGGAGCCTGACCATTGCACACATCTGGGCCTGCTGCTTACGTGCCATTCTTTTCTCAGTACTACATGAGACAGAGGGGATAGTTACATAGCTTGGATGGAAAGGAATCTAATGTGACATAGTAAAAACACCTCAAAGGCTTGTTACCATCACTGGAAAAGCTGGAGTAACTCAGAAATCAAACAAGAATGAGTTATAATGGAAAATATCACTCAACTTCAATGCATGGTCACGATCCATTATGTCTGCCACTTATTTCAGTTGGTCTCAGGTATTTCAACTTTAAAAGTGCACATCTCACCTTACAAAACAGAGATT